GCTTGTAAATCAACAGAATTCTCAACTAAGAGATAGACTGATGTATTGGAGAAATCAAGTTTCAAATTCAACATTTTATTCTCAACTAGATTGTGATACCATTATCCCAATAGAAGTAGTTGATGGTATATACAGGTTGAAACATCTTCCATCAATTCCATCCTGTGCTGACGATTTTTTAAGACATTATTGGGTTGATCAGCAACTTTTCCATTTAATAATCAATAATTTGAATACCAAATACTATGCCACTAGTGGTGAAACCTTAACGACTTGCCCATTTTGTTTTTATTCATGGAAAATGAGAAAGTTTTATTTCAAATTCCAAGATTTGAAGATTTGGCAGTGGAAAAGAACGGATGATCATTGGAAGAACTGTATTGGGTATAGTTTGAAAAATACTGGTATTTGTATTGCTCACGGATTGAATAGAATCATGTATACAATGTTAGCATTAACTATAGGTTCGAACGAAGATGATATGAGATATTTTGCAGCATTATTCAGCACTGGATCTATTGACGACAGATTCCTCAATAAGCAATTGATGAAACCATATATCAGATCAGATTTGTTACTGTATTATGATAACATTGTTTGGACAAATAATGGTATTAAGGTTAAAGAAACCAACCCACAAAATCAAGCACGGAATAATGGAGTTGGATCAACAACAGTTGAATTTAATCAACTACTATTCAAAATGACAGACAAAATCGTTGTCACATTTGATGTATGGTTCCCAATTATGCAGAAATATTTTGAGGAGAGGAATAGAATAAGTTCATTATCCAGAATATCTCAATGTATTGCTCAAATGCAACAAGAACAACAAATTGCTGAAAGGCCGAAATTGGATGATAATATAAAGCGATTATGGAGGAATTTTCAAGATGTATGGAAGTTGTGCTATGATGATAGAGACGTTTGGAACGCTTATAAGGCTAATGATTATATTCTTCCAAAATTAATTCTAGAGATTTTCCACAAATCAATGTACAAGAATGTAGGCGAGTCTGCTAATGGTATTGCCGATTATGTTCATATCATTTGTTTCCATCTAATTGAATTATTTGAGAAATTCGGGCTTGCCCCATGGGAATATCATAATATTGATTCAGAAGCTTTACATTCGCATCAGAAGACTACTGAAAATGCAACAACTTTAAATGGTGGATGCTTTCATGATGAAACAGAGGATTTGCTTGTTATGGATTTGAAGAAATTCTTCTGTAGATTGGGTGATGACTCTTTCTTGTGTGATATCTATGATAATAATAAAGCTGTTTCTTATAGATAATCAAATGTCTTGAATATGTATGATTAGAAATGTCACATGTTGGAAAAATTCCCACTTCGCAAGTAGAACAAATAAGGATGTTGTTGGATTTATTTGATTTTTTATTAAGGAAACGGCTGCGAAACTCATTGAGTTCCCCCGTCGTATTTCTTGTGGTTTGACTCGCTGTGCTTGTTTCACACTTTTTTCTTGTTCCTGTTTCATGCTTAATTCAGAATATGGTGTTTCATTAAGATTTTCTTCCACTTCCTCAACATCTTCCGTTCCATCAACAATAGAATCAGCAAGATTAGGGAACCTTTCAACTTCAGCAAATGCAGTAAAGTAAAGGTTGACATCAGGAAAAAGAAAGCTTCAATAAATGTGCAGGAAAGGTTTAAACATTTCTTGAATTATGCTCAAACAAATTTCAAAAATTGCTCAAACATTTTTCAAACCACTTTTTTAAAAAGGCGCCTTTTTGTTTCTTTTTGACTTTTCCGGAAGTCTAATTTAGAATTTGAAATTATTTAAAAATTCAAGTTTATGAGTGAATTATTATTTACTACAAGAATTGATTGTAATTTAGATATGAGACTTGCCATCAAGAATGATAAAAGAATGATCATTGTAAAAATTGAAAATGTACCAATACCAGTAACAACAACGGAAGAAACCAAATGTGAAATTATTGATAACTGCACCCAAGAAGTATCTACAGAACATATCAGTAGTATCAGCAGTCCATTCGAATCTCATTTCAACTGGTGAAGTAATTGGTTGACCAATGATTGGATATTGTGAGCTATATTGAACATTGTAATTGATTTGAGTTTTCTTATTTCTTTCTCTCAATTGAGAAGCAACTTGTGGTGGAATAACAACGAATTGACCTCTTCCATATCTAACTTGTTCCAAAAACTTTGGATTATAATATTGGTGGACGAAAGGATATAAGAAACCAAATGTCAAAATAGCACAAGTCTTCATCAAGGTATATAACAATTCTCTTTGCCATCCAAGATGAACACCATAATAACGAATCACTCCACGACAATCATTTTCAGGTTGCCAAACCACAAACTCATCCAAATTTGGAAAACTTCCACTTGCTTCCATCTTTTCATCTTGAGTTGGTTTTCTTGGCTTTACTTCCTCTGCCCAAGAATTCTCTCATCCAAATGAGAA